TTTCCTTCTGTCTCGTCCACTCCAAAAATTCCTGATTGGCTACTGCTAAAACCGTCGGGCTATACTACTGTCATTAATTACTTTATCTAAATTAGTCATCTGGTGTTTTTTTTGAGAGGGAACCTAAGCTTAGAAGCCCCGTGGTTTTTATTAGGTTCCCTCGCCATTTTGTTTTCCATCGTTTAATATATAAATTGTAGTTTTGTATCTTCATTGTAATCTTGTATATTAATTTTTGTTATTTATTAATCGTTGTACTCTAATTCTATTGAAAAAATATAAAAATAAAGAATTCGTCTCCGACTGATAAGTCGTCTTTTCGGATAAAAACGTCTCTGGTATAACTTCGGTCAATTTATTCTGTTTGTTGGCTTTTTAGACTTTTTAGCGTAGCAAAAAGAGCATTAATCTCACAAACATCTTCACCGCTAGCCATCAGAGGAAACAACCTACCTAAAATACTTAAAATAGACTAACGCCAAGAGAACTTTGTAGTTAATTTCCCCTCGTACGGATTTTGTCATCCTCAATTTTCCATCCGCATTTTTTGTCATCCTCATTTTTTCATCCGCCATCCGTCATCTGCCATTCGGTCCTCGTTTTAGAGAGACCCGGTTTTAACGGAAAGGAAACCAGCGTAGAATAAGTCAAAATCCGAGTCTAAGAATCTAGCCAATCAGATCATGTCTTCAGAGCCAACTTTTCCTCGTGCCAAGTCCCGCCAGCTAAGAGAAAGAAAAAAGGGTCTGGAGACGAGAATGATGTAGTCGCAATTTCTACTCGACTCGGATATCTCGTTAGGAAGTTTGAACTACCCTTCAACTGAGGGCGCTTCGTTTATTTGCACAATGTTCCACTCGTGTAAACCAGACGAGCATGCAAATATAGTCCACTTATTATTCAAATTTAAGGAATTCTTTCTTTTTTAAAAATGGTAATACATGAGTACTCCCATAACCAAAACAATTTCAAAACAGCTAATCAATAGTCTATGACACCAGGATTCCTTCCTTGGTCCAGTTAATCTTATTCGGCAGAAGTGTGAAGGTTAGGGCCATATTCTTTGAGAGCTTCACACGATAGAATCATACGAGGGAAAAATGTGAAGGGTGTGAGAGTTAATGGGCCTGATCCCTCATGTAATGTCTCCTGCTAATACTACAGATGGAATCCAGTTCTCCAGCAGGCGGGAAAACTCGTCTCTCGGGATTGGCTATTTCGAGACCCCCTGAAACCTCCGAAACCGGTGGTGATCTTTGAATAGCTTGACAAGGATCTCTTTAC